TTTTGTTGGTAGTATTCGTCGACTAGAAGAACGGTTGATTGTAAACCGCAAGATCGTTACAGTGAAGGAACATGGAGATATTGCGGATGCAATTTCAGCTGCTGCAATCAAGGTCATTGAACAGTTTCGCCCATGGATATCCTCTGTGGAGTCGATGAATTTGGCTCCACTGGGGACAAGCTTCCAGAACCCCCAGCTAGTAGACTTCAGCTTGCAAAAGCAAAGAGTCTACGATGCTATTGGAGATTTTGTCCTGAGCTGTCAAGCAGTCTCTGCTCCTCTGGCTGATGAGTGGGCTGAGCTTCGCGGTAATTCACTTGACGATCGTGTGAATGCCGTGCGAGGTATCGTCAGACAATTGGAGAACTATGTCTCCCAGATTGGCTTCTCCCTCTCGCTGCTCCTCGAGCAAATCCCCACCGATTCAGCATCATCTCTACGACGAGATAGCCGTCAAGAAGTGGAAGACGATTCGTACAAGAACCTACATAACCGAGGCGATTCCAAGGCCAAGATTGCCACAGAGTCAATCGGGATTCCATCTTCCTACGCCCCTGAAAAGGAAGGCACCAATAAAGTACGAAGAAACATGGACAAGGCGCAACGATTCTTTGGCCAGGCACCTCCGACAGCTATCACCCGAGAGCCAATTCGGGAGCCAGTCCGCGAGCCCGAAGAGACTCCCTGGTTCTTGAAGATGGCCCATGAAGGCGAAGTCTTTTACGATAACAAGGGAGACTTGCCAATTCTCAAATGTGGAACACTCGCGGGATTGGTCGAGCACCTCACCCGCCATGATAAGCTTGATGCATCTTTCAACAACACCTTCCTCCTCACCTATCGCTCTTTCACTACTGCAACCGAACTATTTGAACTGCTTGTTCAGCGATTCAACATTCAGCCTCCATTTGGCCTGAATCAAGATGACATGCAAATGTGGATCGATCGGAAACAGAAGCCGATTAGATTCCGTGTCGTCAACATTCTGAAGAGTTGGTTCGATCATTTCTGGATGGAGCCTAACGATGAACTGCACATGGATCTCCTGCGACGTGTCCATAACTTTACCAACGACTCAATCGCCACCACCAAAACACCAGGAACCCCTACATTACTGGCCGTGATCGAACAACGACTTCGAGGACAAGACACAACTGTCAAGCGCCTTGTTCCAACCCAGAGCACCGCAGCGCCAACACCAATCATCCCTAAGAATATGAAGAAGCTAAAGTTCCTTGATATTGATCCGACGGAGTTTGCTCGGCAGCTTACCATCATTGAGTCGCGTCTATACTCCAAAATTCGACCCACCGAGTGCTTAAACAAGACATGGCAGAAGAAGGTTGGCCCCGATGAGCCGGAACCATCTCCTCATGTCAAGGCCTTGATCCTTCACTCAAACCAGCTTACCAACTGGGTTGCCGAGATGATTCTCACTCAGGGTGATGTCAAGAAGCGTGTTGTGGTCATCAAGCATTTTGTGAACGTGGCCGATGTATGTGTCTTTTACTGTTTGTTTGACTAATTCTGGCCTTACTAACTCGACTATACAGAAATGTCGCAACCTGAACAATTACTCCACCCTGACATCTATCATCTCTGCTCTTGGAACCGCACCCATCCATCGTCTAGGTAGGACATGGGGACAGGTTAGCGGACGCACGTCCGCAATTCTGGAACAAATGCGTCGGCTTATGGCTAGTACAAAGAACTTTGGCGAATACCGAGAAACCCTGCATCTTGCTAACCCGCCCTGTATTCCATTTTTCGGTATGCATCACCTCGTTTCAAGCAGATTGCCTTGAAAATCTTTCACCCCTTTGATTTACGGCTAACACATCCTAGGTGTCTATCTTACTGATCTGACCTTCATTGAAGACGGTATTCCGTCTCTAACACCCTCAGAATTGATCAACTTCAATAAGCGGGCTAAGACCGCAGAAGTCATTCGGGATATCCAACAATACCAGAATGTGCCTTACCTTTTGCAACCTGTCGGCGAACTGCAAGATTACATTCTCAGTAACCTCCAAGGTGCTGGGGACGTACACGACATGTACGAACGAAGTCTGGAAATTGAGCCTAGGGAGCGTGAGGATGAAAAGATTGCAAGGTATGCTGAAGCCACAAGCAGAGACAAGGGCTCCTTGTTGTTTGCATCCACCGTCGCTATTTTGCGATGATTTGTTTTTGTTTAAGAAAGAATGGCGTCTGGCTTGGCGATACCCAAATTTGACCTCCAACATATTTTCCTGGGCCGAAACTTTGCTTTTTTTCTCAAAACTGTTCGGCTGTTGAGACTAACCGTTTTTGATTCTGAATCTCGTAGATTACTATCTGAGTCCGGTTTCCTGTAACCCGCCAAGATCCCTGTCAATTTTACGCCACACAGGTTCGATACATCTACTGTCCAATGACGCCACTGTTCGATCGTCGACGCGGGAAATCCGCTCCTGTTGGGGCATTTCCGGACCTCGTGACCGTGTCTAGGCTGTCTTAGTCTCCACACTCTTGTCTCTCATTTCAGGGATACTTGCAGATCGATTCATCGCATGCGTCTTTCCAAGATCCACCTTCAAACGCTTATTCGCATTTGACCCTCACATGCATCGAACACGGACTCTGTATCCGGTTCTCAATATACCACTTTCCCCGACAAGAGACCTGTCCGATTTGTTGGGACTTCTATCCCCTTTCCCTCCTATCTCCCAAATGAGGCTACCTGCCTCTGTGGCTGGAACTCACTTCTTTGTACGGAGTACTGACACATATTATAGCCATTTTCTTGGTGTACATTTTATGGCCTTTGATTCGTTTTTTTTTCTTTTGACTTTTTCAACATATCCCCTTGTGTTGTCGCCAGGTTGGGGCGATTTGCTTTTTTTTTTTCTTTTCAAGCTTATGTCCTCCACGCCGTCTTCTGAATAATGATACGTCAACGACTTGAGACTTGTGTTCCTGTCTGATGGATGTTACCTGGAGTTGGCTTGGTCCTTTCCGCTTCATTATGTACAGTGTTCCACGACTTTTTTGTTTGTTGTCCGGAATTGCATATTCCGTGCCAATAGAGGTTGATTCTCTTGATTTGTATTTACTTAGCCTAGTGGAGTAACTACATCACCCCGGGGGGCCCCGGGACGCCTACAAACGGTAATGTGAAGTCGTAAATTCGTTCATTCGCAGGAACTGCAATTTTAGATATTCTATGATCTTGATGAATCAAGAAAGACTGTTGCACATGGCAAAATCCCAGACCTCGAGAAATGCCGGAGAACATGGTGAGGCAAAGGAACAGAGGAATATTAACCCGCTAAGCGCCAAATGCAACAATTCAAGCAAAAGGGGAAAGAGGCGTGGCAGTCATGTCATCTATGGGATTAAGCACCCATCGTCTGAGCCGAATCACTCTGCCGAAGGGGTCTGATTTCCAATGCCATGGAAGAGCTTCATCTTCGTTTCTGATGCCAAAAGGCCCTTCACTTCCTCCGCAACAATCCGCTGTCCGCCGCGGACAACCTTATCTAGTTGTTGGTCTTTGGAGTTGACACCACCGGCACGAGGACCGGTGACCTCCATTCCACGTGCGGCTTTGCGCACTTTCTGGCTGAGATCCATGATCTGCTTGTTACCGAAATCACGAGAGGTGAATAGCGGGCTCTGGCTGAGAGTTGCGACCCAGTACTTGTTCCATAGAAGGGACAGAATTTCCGTATCAAGGGTACTCTTGAAATGACTGACGTCAAGCGAGTAGTACTGATTGGCATGTGCACCGAAGTCCTCCGCCTTGCCGAGCGGGATAGTCTGATACTCGTCGTCCTCATGAGCCTCCTTCTGCGGGGTAAAGCCTGAAGGGAATGTGCGAAAAGCGCCGATCTCAACACGACCCGCGGAGATAGTGCGGTCCGGATCGATGACGACGGCGACAAAGGGTCCAGTCATTTGCTGTGTTTGCTGAGTGGCCACATCAATCCCAGAAAGCCAGCACCCATAGCCAGGGTGACTGTGATACCATCCGACAGCATTTTCCATCCGCCCCGCATCTCGACACGATTGCAGATATGATACCATGTATTCGTTTGCCTCGTCCTGTGCATTTACTCGAGTCTCCGTGCCTTCGACTGGCAGCCGGAACGCATCTGTCACAACGAAGGTGTTTGGTAGGATGTAGCCTTGCATCAAACCCATGATCTCTAGCGAGCCACCCGAGCGGGCGTGCATCACCATCTTCAATAGTGCTGTAGCGGAGATTCGGACATGCTTGAAATAGTATGGGTCGGTGGCCCATGGTCGTTCATCGTTGAGGGCTTTTTCTGTATCGGCATTGTATTCATAGAGAGCATCTCGTTGGGGGTCGAAGACACTTATCGCGTTCTCGAGCTCTGTGTGGGGACATTGGTCAATTACAAGCTGGTTGTCATATGGGTGTGGAGGTACTCACCCCAGGCCTGCTGGGCAGCTTGCATCTTGGATGGATGGGGATGGAGCACACAGTCGACGGATAATCAATGTATTACAGGAATCGGAGTACGTAAGGTAAGGGCTCGGTGATAATGGGAGTTCTGCAAGGACCGGAGAATAAATAGCATCAGAAGCCAATGTATTAAGTAGAATGGCCGTGGGGTTGATCATTGATTGGCAGTATTGGGCGGTGGGGCTGCTGAGTCAGCGGTTACCCGGGACGACGATCGCGCCCAAACATCCACTTGCGACCTTGGAAATTTGATGTTATCCTCCGCGATTTCAGTGCTTCCCCCTCATAAACAACAGTGTGCTCGCTGTCCCATGTCGCTGTCATAAGTGTTTTCACAGACCTCCACTCTCGTTTATTCCCGTCGCACCTTGTGTGCTAAGAACCCTGTGTGCCAGGCTCTCTTGTTTTGATCCCGATATTGGTCACCCTGTCGCAGCTTTGCTCGGCACTGTGTCGTTGGATTGGATACATCCCATTCTTTGTTATCAATCTTGACTTTTGTCACACCCATTGAGGGACTTTCTTTATCATGGCGGTAGACACTGGCTACCTGACCACTCAGGTCAACAACATCGTCGCTCAGCTCCATGGGATTTACGATGACATTGGAGTCCCTGCGCGTGAGCGCGAGTCCCGCGAGGCGGAGGTTGGTCTAGTCTCAGTGTAACAATGGCATTGTCGCATGGCTAACAGAGTGACACAGCTCTTCAGTGCCCTGTCGGAGACATTGAACAATCATCTTAAGGTCGTTGACGAGTGAGTCGCACCCACCGACTAACCTATTGTAGGTGTTCTAATTATATATGTAGGGAGCGAGAGGATATGACGCAGGAAGCAGAGCGTCTTATTACAGCGATTCAACAAATGGAATCTTCCCTGAGCGATGAACGGGCCAATGGTCAATACGAACTGAACCGCGACGACCTTCGAGTCACTTACCCACTTAACAAATGTATTAGTTTCTTGCGCGAGAAGAATGAGTCGATGAGCAAACTGCATCGTGAACGCTTTGAGCAGGTTAAGAGTGAGTGTTATCTGTGTGATGTGTCGCTGATGCCCGTTTACTGACATTCAACAGAACTTGTCGACGCGCTTGAATCTTACTCCTCACACCTCGAGCCATCATTTGTTAAGCTCGAGCTTCCTCCCACTGCGCCAGGAGCCTCGATTCCTCCGAGCTTCGATCTTTCACCTATGTATGTGACCGCCTTGGATGCCGAATTCACCCACGTCTACGAAGAATACCACCGTCGCATTGCCCAGGTCCAATCTGCCTGCGAGGAAATGATCAAACTTTGGGCCGAGCTCGGAACGCCCCAGGCGCAAACAGACTCCAATATTGTGAAGTGTTACCGCGAATCCCCTGAGCAACTGGGGCTCCATGAAGATGATGTCGCCAACCTGATGGCCAAGCGCAATAAATTGGTGGAAGAAAAGAAGAGCCGTGAGCGCAAGATCAACGACCTCCGAAATACTGTCATCTCTCTATGGGATCGCTTTGGTGTTGAGGAGGCCGATCGCAAAGCGTTCCTGGCTGCAAATCGTGGCTGCGGTTTGCGCATAATTAACGACCTCGAAGAGGAATTAACACGTCTCAACGAACTTAAGAGACAGAATCTCCACCTGTTTGTGGAGGATGCTCGCTGCCGATTGCAGGAGCTTTGGGACGGTCTCTTCTTCTCCGAAGAGGAAATGCTCGATTTTACACCTGCATTCTCCGATGTGTGCAGCGATGCCTTGCTTGAGGCTCATGAGGCCGAAATTACACGACTGGAGCATATAAAGGAGCAGCGCGCTCCTACCCTCGAAATGATTGACAGACACCGCACTCTTCTGGCAGACCGCGAGGCACTCGCAACGTCAAGCCAAGATGCATCCCGCCTCATGGGCCGCGGGAACAAGGGAGAGAAGCGTGACCCCGGAAAGCTTCTGAGAGAGGAGAAGATGCGCAAGAGAATCGCCAAAGAATTGCCGAAACTCGAAGCTGACCTGCGGAAAGAGTTGGAACATTGGGAAGATGAATTCGGCCGACCATTCCTGGTGCATGGTGAGCGATATCTCGATTCGTTGACACCTGTCAGGTCCATGCTTCCACCGCGCTCAAAGACACCATCTGCACCACCATCGACAACCAAAGCAAACACAATGAGACAGCAACCACCCGCCCGCCCTGGAAGCTCCCTGAGAGGGCCTCCTCCTCCCCGCTCAGCTACCAAGACCCCCACTAGCAGCGGCCCAGTCAAACACAATACCATTGGATACGGTGCCTCTCGAGCTGGGGCCACATCAAGAGCTGGTGCAACATCCCCTTCGAAGCTTCCCGCCCGTGTTCCGCTGGGAAATATGCCCCATGGGAACAACTCCCCTGAGCGTCGTATCCAACCCGGTGCCTACTCATCCAGCACACTTGGAAAGATGCCGCCCCCGCGCGGACCTCCCCCCACGGATGCGTGCGTTGACCGTTGAGTCAAGGGAAGATCGCTTCAGCCACCTTATGGAGCCACCTCGCTGCAACAGTGCTATGTCCAGTGCCTATGTTCGGCCTGTTAGCCCCGAAGACGTCTATGATGATCGGCAGCGATCCTTCATGAGCAATTCAGGATTTTCAAACTCGCAAAGATCCACCGGATTCTCTCATTCATCTCACTCTTCACAATCGTCACTGTCTCTGAACTCTAATCAGACATTCCCCCGACCAAACCCGTACTTGCAGCATGCAGCTCCGCCCCCAGCTGCCCGTCAGGTCTCTAACGCCTCTACAGTCAACACTGCAACCTCTGGATCTGAAAACTGGGAGACTTTTGAGGACGGCTCGGGATCAGAGGCCGATCCTAGTGATATTTATTATTCTAAACTCCGTGCTGCACATGGAGGAAAGCGATTTGCACCTGAGGACGGATCAGATCTCACTGGCAAGAAGTCTAAGGGTATCCGCAGTGTCAGTCCAGATGGTCCGCATCCCGGGCAGGTCCTGCGTGTTGCTGGCAGTGACAACGAGTGGGCCGATGACTATGAAACTTACTAGATGTTTTGACATCGCCTCCTCTCCCCGTAATGCATCTGACAATTTGCATCTCATTTCTCTTGGCGCCTCGGATGTTCAACGGTGGTTGCGCAACCGTTGACCTTTGATGATCCCACGACTGGATTCTGCACGGCTCATGATCACTCTTGGCTTCCCTTTCACGACTGAGCTCCCCTAGCTTTCATAGGGGCAGTGTTCTTCTCTCCCCACATACGATAACCTCCGAGGGGTCGACTACAACTTCTCTTCCTGTTCAAAATTACGAGTCTATCATGTCATTATTTATGCTCTCCTTCATCTGCCGATGTTGTTGAGACCCATGTGCCTGATTGCGTTATGGTACAGCCTTCGGAGGATTCCTGTCATTCACAACTTCCCGACTGACACCCTCGCTGCTTCGATTCCCTTCGGGTTTAATCTTTTCCTTTTTCTGGTCTTCTTGGCATGGTGTTATCTTCGTTTCTCTGTCACTTATGGTTTCCGCTGGCTTGGTGCTTATCGCTTTATTCCCTGTTCGATCTCCGGTTTTGGGAGTCGAATTTTGTCCTTGGTTTTCACCGTTTTTCTATGTATTTGTCAGCGAAGTACAGTGTTTCGATATAGTGTTGTTAATCATATCTTCTGGTCTCTTGAGTCTTCTAATAAAATACATGTCAAGCTTTTGAGCTGAGATACTCTTGATCGCTACGTGCACTGGACAAATTTATGGCTTGGTTATAGCCTAAACAACCAAGCAACCTGGAGATATCACATCTCTGCTCAGGACGGACTCCGTACGGACTTGGCGGAGTTCTAGATGTCGCTATCAGGCTCCCGCCAAACGAACCCCTGCTCATTTTTAGGGGGCTGAATTCCAGCAGTTGAATTCAACTTCAGATTTGTTCTGAACAACAGAGCAAATCTGCGTAAGAATGGCGACGACTGGGGCCAGGGACACCTGTGACAGCCTTTTTGGGCCTATAGTCAGTCACAATAGTTGTCGTGGGGGGTTCGACTTTACAGGTACATCACGCCGATGTCTGGGCGTCTGGGCACTCCCCACAGATGCTAACATTGCCCAGTCCTATTCGAAGCTTGGATATTCAACATTACTCCAGCAGCCTGTTTTCTCCTGCTGTTACCTATTCGCCTGTTTCAGTTATCTAGAGAGTCTATCAAAGTAAAAACCTCTTCGGTTCATTTGGCGACGCTGGTGAGTCTTGCTGTCTAGAATTCAACCTGAAACGTCCAAGTAATGCTTTATACAGGCCATCGCGACAGCATTGGCAGGGATTCAAGTTGTGCTGCTTGTATTTAGTGCGACTCAATACTACCCCGAACAGCATGTGTCACTTGCGGGTGCTACCCTCAGCCTTATAGCGGCACTTTCTATTGTTGTTCTGCTTTATTTGGAGCATAGCCGAGCTGTTCGACCTTCATTCCTCGTCTCTGCATATCTGTTTATTACCTTGCTTCTAGACATTGCGCGAGTACGTACCGCCTGGCTGTTACCATATGGTAGAGCATACCCGGCCTGCCTCACCGCGTCTCTGGTCACCGAGTTGCTCCTCCTGGTACTAGCGAATGTTGAGAAACGCAAATGGTTGTTGCCGGCCGAAAAAACTCAGTCTACTGAGAGTACAAGTGGGCTCTTTAGTCGCGGATCGTTTGCCTGGCTCAATGAATTGTTGAGAAAAGGACACTCCTTGTTGCTCACGGGCGATGCGCTACCTAATATCCACGAGAAGCTATCGTCTAGTGATTTGTCCGATCGATTTGCGAAGTCATGGGCATTATGTGACCAGAGTCGTCAACATGCGTTGCTGCTGGCTATCGTGAATTGCCTTCGCTGGGACATTGCTGCTATCGCATTGCCTCGACTCGCCCTGATAGGGTTGAAAATAGCGCAGCCATTTCTAGTTGGCAAAACCGTTTCATTCCTCGATCAGCCTGAATCTCCGTTGAATATTGGTTATGGGTTGATAGGAGCCATCGCTATCGTCTTTATTGGAATTGCTGTAAGTCTTATGTTTTTAATCACGTACTCCGTTTTTTACTGCATGGTCATTGACAAACTGGTCTTGATAATCAAGGTTACTACGGCATCTTATGAGCATCTAGGATTCCGTGCTACGACTATGGTTCGTGGTGGCCTCATGGCGCTTGTCTATCAGCACATGATGGAGTTACCCCTGGGGAGTACTGATGAGTCTAGTGCCATGTCCCTCATGGGCGCTGATGTTGAAATGCTTGCGGAATACTTTCACTCTACAGTGTGCGAATCCTGGGCTTGCATCATACAGCTAGGACTGGCCGCCTGGATCCTTCAGACTCAGATCGGTGTTGTCTGTGTCACACCCATCATAATTGTGGCAGGTATGTTCTCTGAAATCGCATTACAAATGGTCAAAATAGATTAATCGAGATTAGTCTTTACCGTTGCTTCTTTTGTCATGGGAAATGCTGTGTCCACTCGACAGAAGACATGGCTAGAGGCTACAGAGAAGCGCATCAATTTCACCAGCCATGTCCTCGGCTCAATCAAAAGCGTGAAATTTCTAGGGCTAACAGAGTTCATAAAGCAATCCATTACAGGGCTGAGAATTGAGGAGCTTGAGATTTCCAAGAAGTTCCGCCGAATTCAAACCGTCCGTGTCTGCATGAGTACGTTGGCTTGCAAGTCCCTAAATACGGGGAACTCGATTGAGCATACTGGGATCAGGCTGACAATCGCTTTCAGTAAATCTTCCGACAATTATTGCACAGTTTGCTACTTTTGCAACCTATGCTTTGGTTGCGAAGGTGCAAGGGTCTGAGGGTCTTTCGGTCTCACAAGCCACCACGGCCCTTTCACTGATAAATCTGCTAATCAGTCCTCTCATGCATCTATTGTTGGCAGTCCCAGACACATTCGCATCAATAGGATGTTTGTATCGAGTCCAGGACTTCTTGAGACGTCCCAATATTGTTGGTAAGTAGTTCGAGACGTGTCCCATTATGCAAGCTGCACAGCGGATTAACCTCACTTACGCACAGAAAGAAGAAAATTGCTTCAGCCAGAAGAAGAAACTCCTGCGTCATCAATTAATTCAGCCGAGTTCGAACTCGGGGTTAGGAACATCTCCTCAGAGAATCAATCCGACATGTTGGTGTCCCTGCAAAATGCTCGGTTCGGTTGGAATAGCTCTCCGTCGGACAGTGCCGGTATCACACTCAATCTGAGTCCCTCGCCCTTGGGTACTCTAGTTGCGATTGTCGGTCCTGTGGGAAGTGGAAAGTCCACATTCCTCAAAGGGCTCGCAAATGAGACGTCTGTTCTCGATGGCGAAGCCTTCATCAAGTACCCCGATCTGGCTTTCTGTGAACAAACTCCATGGCTAACTAATACGACGATCCGAGAAAACATCATTGGAGAGAACACAGCCACTGAGTTTGACCCTAATTGGTATTCGACTGTGGTGAGCGCATGTGCGCTGGATTCTGATCTCAAGAAGATGCCAGCGGGTGATCAAACGTTCGTTGGTAGCAAAGGATCTAAACTCAGTGGCGGGCAAAAGCAAAGAATTGTAAGTGCGAAATATGGTTCGCTCTATATGGGCGACCACGCTTGGAAATAATAACAATGAGTTTGTGAACTGATTTCATTATAGGCCATAGCGCGAGCTGTCTATGCTCGCAAGCGAATTGCGTGCTTCGATGATACTTTGAGTGCTCTTGATAATGCAACTGCTCGACTGGTATTCAACAATGTTTTCGGTTCATCTGGACTGCTGCGTCGACTGGGCTGTACTGTGTTCCTCGCGACTCACAATGGTGCGCCTCTCGATAGTTTTATCGGTTAACTTATGGTGTATATTGACAATTAGTAGTTCAATATCTACCGCAAGCCGACTTCATAGTCGTACTCGGAGAGAACGGCAATATCCTGGAGCAGGGCAGCTTCTCTCAGCTCCTCAGTCATGCCGGAGGGTATGTGAGCCGGCTAGGTATTCGACCAGGGGAGATCGAGAAAGAAGAGGTGCAGAATGACAATGTAATCGGACTTCCAGAGGCCGAGGAAGTCATGGAAAGCCGCCCATCCACCCCGGTTTCTACTGATGAACGCCGAAAGATGTCTGATCTTGCTGCTTACAAGTACTATTTCTCTGCCATGGGGTGGATCCGAGTCTGTGTGTTGACTTTCTTGCTGGTGGTGAATGGTGGCATTGGTGGACTCCGCAGTATGTCAAAACTCTCGGCTGATGATCAACACCGTATAATGCTCATCTTTACATAGATGCTTGGATCGGAATGTGGTCCTCTAGCCCCGACAGCGCTTCAAGCTCGGGATTGGGATATTGGCTTGGAATGTATGGGGCATTATCTGTCATCGAAGCCGCTTCAATGGTTCTTGCGGTATAGTAAGTGATGCCTCCTTGCGATGCCTCCTTCCTCTTCGTACAGATTTGCTAACTGATTTCATCTTTAAGCTGGACCTGGGTCGTGATTGTGCCGACCGCATCGAAAAATGTTCATGCTACCGTGCTGCAGACTTGCATGAGGTGAAATTTCCAATTCCTCGCCAATAAAAACACAGATCAGCTAACATATTTAGTGCCCCCTTGTCCTTCCTATCTCACGTAGATACGGGCTCTCTCATCACCCGTTTCAGCCAAGACATGAGGCTAGTGGACATGATTCTCCCTCGAGGATTTATCACCACAGGATTCCGTAAGTGCATTCCTTATACATATTCTCCGATTATCTTACCTATCTCTGACTTGGGCGACATTCAGAAATTGTTGGAACCCTTTCACAAGCCGCGATTGCCATAGCTGCATTGCCATATCTGGCTATAGCCCTGCCCTTCCTGGTTGGGATGTTAATCCTAGTTCAGCGCTTTTACCTGCGCACATCCCGCCAGTTGCGGCTATTAGAGTATGTTCCTCCGCGCTCAATTCTCCAATTTGATCATCATGCTTTTCTGCAGTTCAAGAAATTAACAGTCCCCCAGGATTGAACTCAAAAGCCCCCCTATACACCCATTTCATTGAATCCCTCGCCGGTGTCGTTACCATCCGTGCCTTTTCATGGACTGCCGCTTCTAAGTCTAGAATGCTGTACTTGCTTGATAGGTCCCAAAGACCCTTCTATCTCTTGTTATGCATTCAGCAATGGCTCGGCCTGGTGCTAAAGCTCATGGTGACTGGCATGACGGTCATTATGGTCGGGGCTGCTGTAGCTCTGCGCGGGAAAGTGAGCCCTGGTCTGTTGGGTATTGCGCTGATCGGAATGATGGACCTGGGAGAAATCCTCTCAGACTTGATCCAGAATTGGACTCTTCTGGAAACATCATTGGGTGCGATTTCCAGAATCAAGGAGTTCTCGGAAGATACCCCAAGCGAAGAACAATATGCAGCCTATGAGAAGCTGCCAGACACACAATGGCTAAGTAGGGGTGACATCTCATTCGTTAACGCAGACATTGCATATGAGTCCGAGAACGCAGACCCTGTGCTGCACAGTATTCGTCTGGATATTCGTGCCGGGGAAAAAGTCGGGCTGTGTGGTAGGACCGGAAGGTTAGCAAAGAAAGCCATGAAAACGAACTCTAGTAGAGGCAAAAATAGACTGACAATCCACAGTGGCAAGAGCACCCTGGCTCTATCACTACTCCGTCTCAACGAGGTAGTTTCTGGCCAGATCCTTATTGATGGAGTCGACATATCGACGATTCCTCGATCGTTGATTCGGCACCGGATCAGCTCTCTCAGTCAAGAAGCTTTCTGTTTCCCAGGTACAATTCGGCAAAACATCGATCCCACAAGCGCCGCTACCGATATCGATATCGTTGAAGCTCTCAAATGTGTCGAAATCTGGAATGCTCTTGTTTCTGCAACGAACAGTGGCGCCAACAGCGGGACGTTGCTAGATGCAACACTCACTGACACAACTTTATCTGAAGGCCAAAAACAGCTATTTTGCCTAGCAAGGGCACTTCTCAAGAAGAGTAATATTCTGATACTAGATGAGCCGACAAGCAGGTATGTGAATCCTTCGAGTCTCTTGCTACTGACCATGATCATGCAAGCGATGCTAACTGACCATTACAATCAGTCTGGATGCAGAGACAGATGCCAGGGTCCAGAAAGTCATTCGCCAGGAGTTCCAGAACTGCACTATTATTATGGTTGCCCATAGGGTTCATACCATGCTCGACTTTGATCGAGTTGTTGTTCTGGAGAGTGGTCGAATCATAGAAGAAGGACATCCCTCGGAATTGCTGGCGAACAAAGACGGCGCGTTCTCAAGCTTGCGCCATCTGGAGCAGCAACAGGAAGTAAACAGGAGCTTTGATTGATCATGTCTCATCAGGTATCAGGCTGTACACAAGGACTTTTAGTCCTCAACCTCAATGAACATAGTCACTTTGTTTTTCCCCTTATGCATTGCCAATCAGCAAGTAGCCGCTCATCAAAGAGTTATTTATCGTGATTATTTATATGGACATGTATCGATATCTTGTCTTAAACAAATACATATTGGGATTTGGATATATCAAATACAACTATTGTACAGTTACTCAATCTCTTCATTCTATATTACCGCTTAGTCGCAAGACTCCCCATCCAACTCTGATCCTCAGGCAAAGTTCCCTTAGGAACTCTCTGGCCAGCAGAAGGAACAAGGGACTGTGTCAACGCCTTGGCGTCCTGCACTCGGCGAAGTGTCTCATCTCTCCCGAGAACTACCATAGTCTCCGAGATACCAGGCCCAGGCGCAGAAGCCGAAAGTGCCCAGCGGAGGTAGTGATACAGCTCCTTCTTGAATAGTTTGCCTGCGCTCTTAGAGTCAACGGGTGTGTCGGACTCAGACGCGGAGATTATTATGCTTTCCGCGCCATCGTAGCTGTTGATGTTATCGCGGTGTGTTTCGATGTTCCAGGCTACAGGTGGGACGAGGGTTAAAGCAGCCGCTGCGGTGTGCAGGGCTTGCATTGGGACTTCCGGGGAGGATTGAGGTGAGACCTGTTTGTAAGGGGCTCTGTCGAGTTTTGGAGTAAAGAAGACGGAGTTACGCTGGGCAAACTCCTTTGCATCTGTGTAGCTGTTGACATCTGCGCGGATGAGGGGCGCGATGTATTCGGATAGAGTGCGACCTTTGAGAATTGTGGCGCTGCTAGGTGTTAGTTATTATATGTATAATCTTCAAGTGACTTGACTACGGCTAATGGTTGACTTACAGTTTGTCGAGAGGGTGGCTTTCTTCCACCACCGAGCTCACCTTCTTCACCATCTCGTCGAACTCCGGGCCGCCGCTTTGAACCAAGCGTTGAATATGTGCCTTCTGGAGGAACTGGAGTTTTTCAAAGGAGACGACAGTGTTCCCTCGAGTGATTTTCAAATTGAACTGGTAGCATTGTTAGTAGTGAAATGACGGCTTTTTTTACGAAACTTAGATGAACATACAATCTTTTCCAGTTCCTTCAAGTCTAGCACATCGGACTTTTCGGAATGCGACCAGCCTAGAAGCGAAGCAAAGTTCACCAGGGTGGCTGGGAAGATCCCTTGCTTATCCTTAAATGATGAGAGGTCGATATCTGCGTTGCGCTTGCTGAGCTTTTGTCCACTCCGGTCGACGAGCAAAGGGACATGAGCAAAGCTTGGTGGAGTCCACTTAAAGGCATTGTATAGCGCCATGTGCATAGGCGTAGATGCCATCCATTCCTGATTGATGTTAGTTCGGTGTCTTTTGACTTGATAGCTAACAATATAATAAGTATAAACTCACTGTTCCTCGGATAACATGAGTGATCTTCATGCAATGGTCATCCACGACATTCGCCAAGTGGTACGTGGGATGTCCGTCCGATTTGATAAGAACCGGGTCACTATATACACGGTCGATGAAATCCAGCTTCGAGTTGCTGGGACGATTTTGGCCAGATTTGCCATAGACCAGATCATTGAACATGGGGTATTCGTCCACTTTCAGTCGAATAATGTGTGCTTCTCCCTTGGCTGCTCGATCTTCTGATTCTTCGGCAGATATATCGCCACATTTTCGGTCATAGCCAGGCGGTAGTCCTGCTTGGCTGCGGTGACGGGCGATCGAATCCAACCGTTCTGCGGAGCAGAAGCATCGGTATGCATGCCCATTAGAGATGAGTTCATTGGCGTGGGACTGGTATAAAGCTGTTCGTTCGGACTGCATGGGAACAGAAAGTTAGGGCTTATATGCTTTGCGACAAAGGAGTCATATCTCACCTGTCTATAAGGTCCGTAGGGACCACCAATGATAGGACCTGTCAGCAAAGCGCGAGTCAGCGATTGCCCTTGATGATTGTACATATATCAAGCCAACCTTCATCCCAATTTAATCCAGCCCATTGTAGATCATCGTAAAGTCGCTGTTCCGCCCCGGGGATTGTCCGTTTCTACCATAATCAGTTGTAGTCCTTGCAACGGTGCGCTATCCACCAACCTGGTCGGTGTCCTCGATGCGCAATAGAAATTGACCACCGGTACGTTTCGCCAGCAGATAGTTGAAGAGTGCTGTCCGTAAAGAGCCTAGATGAAGGTATCCAGTGGGCGAGGGCGCAAAACGCGTGCGCGCAGGCCCATTTGGCAGTTTGTTCTTCGAATTAGGTGCCCGAGCAGCCGGAGAAGAGGAAAATGGCCTGCATTGCATGCAAGTCCAGGACCGCCTGGCAAATATCCCTTGAGGGCTTCTCATTGCGAAATAGTCCAAGTCGAAGTAGAAAAGAATGGCCGATCGAGATGTGCGGAGTTGCGGAGCTGCGGCGCGGAGCTCCCGAACAAAATTTCTGAACTTTGGGGGACCAACAACTCCCGCTTTCACATCTCATTCATCAACGGTTCTTTCTTGCTATTGGGCTGAGATTGACGGCCTCTTTTCGTTAGAGAAAAGTCCGATCGTATTTTACACCGTTAATCACTGAAAAGTACGTTGGAACCCTGTGTTGTGCTCTACACTACTAACAATGTCCCCAGTGGCTCCGGCTGAAGTTGACCTCTATGGTATGTGCTTGTTTACGCGGATCAACTATAAAGAAATACCATATTGATAATCTATTCATACAGCGGTCCTCGAGATCCATCAGAGCTCAACCAAAGATGACATCCGCAAGGCATACCGCAAGGCAAGACGAATCCCGATCCATCTCCGTATGCCGGTGATACTGACAGTCGGCTTTAATAGGCGGCCTTGACCAACCACCCTGACAAAGTCCCCGAGGCCGAGCGCGAGGAAGCCTCAATCAGGTTCAAGGCTGTGCAGGAGGCCTACGATATTCTCTACGATGATGACAAGCGACACCTCTACGACACACACGGCATGTCTGCCTTCAACGGCTCGGGTGAGCCGGGCATGGCAGGGCAACCTGACTTGGATGACTTGCTGGCACAGATGTTCGGTGGTGGCATGGGTGGCATGGGCGGCATGCCTGGTATGGGAGGTATGGGAGGAATGCCTGGAGGTGGTCGCCCCAACAAACCGCGCAAGAGCCCCAGCGAAGAGCAAGACTACGAAGTCAGCCTGGAGGATTTGTACAAGGGCAAGACCGTTCGGTTTTCCAGCGCCAAGAACATCATTTGCGGACATTGCAAGGGCAAGGGTGGTAAGGAAAAGGCCACTGCTAAACAGTGCTCAACTTGCGGCGGTCATGGCCACAAGGAGGTCTTGCAGCGCATGGGCCAGTTCGTGACTCAGCAGACGGTTATTTGCACCACATGTAACGGAGAGGGATCATACTACGCCCCGAAGGATAAGTGCAAGAAGTGCAAGGGCACACGGACGACCGAGGCGAAGAAGATCCTGGAGATTTACATCCCCCGAGGCGCGAGGTACGACGATCTATGTTTCTATTATCTAACCGGCATCACATGCTCACTGTACTATAGGGAAGGAGACAGAATTGTGTTAGAAGGCGAGGCCGACCAGGTGCCCGATCAAGAGCCCGGTGACATTATTTTCAAGATCATTGAGGAAGAACACCCCGTTTTCACACGGGCCGGCTCAGATCTCCGCGCAACTATTGATGTTACTCTTGCTGAATCCCTGACCGGGTTCTCCCGCGTTGTGATCAAGCACCTCGATGGCCGTGGCATTGAAATTAACCACCCCGTCGGTTCTGTCCTCTCACCCGGCCAGGTCCTCAAGGTTCCCGGAGAGGGCATGCCAATGAAGCGTACCGATGCTCGTGGCGACCTGTACTTGGTTGTCGACGTCAAGTTCCCTGATAGCAAGTGGAAGCCCACCCCAGAGATGATGGAGAAGCTCAAGGAAATCCTCCCCAAACCTAGCGCCCCTATCAAGGCCGAGACTGTGGATGAAGTCGAATACGACCCCAAGGGCCGGATTGAAGAATTCGGCGCGCAGGATGGTCATGACGCATCGGCTTGGGAAGACGAGGAAGACGACGAGGAACCGGCACAGTGTGCAGCTCAGTAGAATCATTTTTGCATAGATGGCGTCTGGGACTTTTTATTAATAGGGGACTTGTGAATAAAACAACCCTCTTTGACTTCAAAACGCAATGTAGACCAATGTAGATCGACGTAGGGCATATAGAACGGGTTCCACTCATTCCGGGGTGGATCAATGTGGATAGCGTGGGGGCAGACATTCTATATCTCCTCCATGCGTACTCATCGGTTTCTTTTGTACTATCGTCGCAGGAAGAGAGATATTCAATCCATCCCAGAACCAAATCCGGGGCCGAGTTGCCGAACTCCGGGGTCGGCCCCGGCATACTCTCGGCCTCGATCTCGGCTTCCCTTTTCTTTCTTTACCTTGGAAATTTTTTTCCCTCTAGACAGACCGTCAACTCCAGGTCTATCAGCGCAAATCCCAATAGTATCTATAGTCCCCCAAAATAAAATCCCTGGCTAAAACAACCCGATGTCGTGCAACACCAAAACATCCTGCAAAGGCTGTTCCTGCACCAACAACCCACCCCCAAACATCGAAGACTGCGAAAGCGAGCTCCTCGCCCTCCGCAAGCGAACACACGATCTAGAAAAGACCCTAGCATCTCTTCAAGTCCGCACTACAGCACCACATCGCAAACTTCGCTCGACACGATGGTTCAACAACGACGAGAACCCAGGCATGACAGCACTTTATCTCGAGCGATATCTGAACTACGGACTAACACGCGAGGAGCTCATGTCTGGGAAGCCGATTATCGGAATTGCGCAGTCGGGCTCGGATCTGGTTCCTTGTAACCGACATCATTTGGAGTTGGCGAAGCGGGTGCGTGAGGGGATTCGCAGTGCTGGTGGTATTGCGTTGGAATTTCCTACGCATCCGATTCAGGAAAGCTCGCGTAGACCGACGGCTTGTCTGGATCGGAATCTTGCGTATCTTGGGTTGGTGGAGATTTTGTATGCTTACCCGCTGGATGGGGTTGTGCTTTTGACGGGATGTGATAAGACAACACCTGCGGCGTTGATGGCGGCTGCTACTGTGGTATGTGTGGAACTTGTTGGAATTGTGGTCCTTTTGTCGATGATAAAGCTGACATACCCGTGATCAGAATATACCAGCCATCTGTTTGAATGTTGGTCCGATGTTGAATGGGTATCTGAAGAATGACCTTGCGGGATCAGGAATGGTAGTCTGGAAAGGGCGAGAGATGTATGCTGCTGGCGAGATGAATCGGGAGGAGTTCATGGATTATGTGGCTCGCGGGTATGTTTCTGCCAGGATTGAAGTCAAAGGAAATGAGCATATGTTGATCTTATACAGGGCACCGTCTGTCGGTCATTGCAATACTATGGGCACAGCATCAACGATGAACGCACTAGCAGAGGCGCTGGGTATGGCTCTTCCGGGCTCGGCAGCAATCCCAGCTCCATACCGAGAGCGTGGCCAATGCGCCTATGAGACTGGCGAGCGCATCGTTGAAATGGTCCACGCAGACCGCAAGCCTAGCGATATCATGACACGAGCAGCCTTCGAAAACGTTATAGTCACAAATACTGCCATTGGCGGGAGTACGAACGCCCCTATACATATTAATGCCATGGCCAAACACATCGGCGTTGACTTATCCCTTGACGACTGGGATCAGATCGGGTTTCACATCCCTCTACTCCTGAATATGCAGCCCGCCGGTGAGTTCTTGGGCGAGGAATACTTCCGCGCCGGCGGACTCCCTGCTATCATGGCGGAGTTGCTAGATGCCGGGAAACTACGCCCAGACGCATTAACCTGCAATGGAAAAACCGTAGGTCAAAACGTGCGCGGTAAGCACACCTGGAACAGGGAGGTTATCCGAGCATATACCGAGCCGATGATGAAGGATGCCGGATTCGTACATTTGCAAGGTACTCTTTTTAATTCAGCGATCATGAAGACCAGCGTGATATCACCGGCCTTCCGGCAACGATTCCTCGAGAACCCAGATGACCTCAACGCATTCGAGGGTGCCGTTGTAGTCTTTGACGGACCGGAAGATTACCACAGTCGGCTAGACGACCCCGCCACGCCAATCGACGAGAGAAGTATCCTGGTCATGCGTGGTGCAGGTCCCATGGGCTACCCGGGCGCTGCCGAAGTGGTCAACATGCACCCTCCAGCACGGCTATTGCGCCAGGGAATTACCTCACTTCCCTGCATCGGTGACGGTCGCCAGTCCGGCACATCGGGGTCGCCTTCTATTTTAAATGCAAGTCCCGAAGCAGCAGCTGGTGGGAACCTTGCGCTTCTTCGGGACGGGGACCGGCTACGGGTAGATTTGAATAAGCGTCGGGTTGATATTTTGATTGGTAACGAGGAACTTCAGCGGCGTCGTGAGGATCTTAAGGTTCAGGGCGGGTTCTCTGTGCCTGAAAGCCAAACGCCGTGGCAAGAGATCTTCCGACGTGAGACTGACCAGTTGAGTGAGGGTATGGTTTTACGTGATGCTGTTAAGTACCAGCGTGTTGCTCAGCGCTCAGAGCCTCGGCATAACCATTGAGGTTCATACGGAGTCATGGGTATGTAGGTCGTGGGATCTCTACGTGTGGAGAATAAGCTGTGGGGGAATCAAGTACGGCCAACGCGGAGATAATAAACATAATAATGCCGGTAATCCGAACCTGAGCCCGAGTTGGATGATTTGCCCAGGTGTTCAGGGCTGTGTATACCCGGGTAAGATGGGTATCGGCATTTGAACGGCTTTCCATAGTAAGCCGACCTCGGGGAGACTTGGGTGTTGAGATCTTGGTATTAAGTCCCGCCATTATCCACCGGAGCATCAAACGAAATAAAACAAGACAGTGCCTGTGTGAAGTAGCAAGAAGGTAAAGAGAATATCGGGTAAAAGAGTATTCGGCTTCGGTTATAGGCGGTCTGGGCACGGGCTTAGCTCGCTATACTTGCCCATCCTTGCCCTTTGCTTGCCCATAGAGAAGACCCGTTGATTGGTGCATAAATTCCACTGAATATAATTTTTCCGTCGAGTTGGACGTCGAATAGGAACGTCATTTCTTCAGTAGATGCGATCCACATCCTCCACTCGGCTATTGAACACCCCATGGTCTGATAGATCCGGGGTATTCTTTCCCCCAGACTCGAATGAAAATGAGTCTTGGAGAGAAACTAGATGCGGGGGCCCTTCGAGGGCTTTATAAGTCCAATCTGTAATCCTTAGTCCGGGTTTTCTTCTCTTTAATTTCATACCCTAGAAAGTCTGGACTTCAAAATGGGCATATTCAAGAATAGTCGTGTGTACGTGCTAGCAACCGTGGCGTACACGGGCTCGTTCCTATTCGGTAAGATCAGTCTCTCTTGATTACAAACACAGCATACTGATATGTTTCCATAAAGGATATGACACGGGTGTGATGGGAAGTGTACTGGAACTTCCCAGTTTCAAGGCCGATTTTGGACTTACGGGTGAAAGTTCGGGTTTCTCAGATGCCAAAAAATCCCAAGTCTCATCGAATGTCGTCTCACTCCTCACAGCCGGATGTTTCTTCGGTGCTATCCTCGCCTCCTTCGTGAATGAGAAGTTCGGTCGTCGCTATTCCATCATGGGATTCCTCATGTTCTTCCTGATCGGCTCTGCCGTCCAAACCGCCGCTCACAGTGAACTCTCTTATATGTACGGTGGACGTGTGATTGCCGGTTTCGGAATTGGAGGCATGTCAGCCATCACTCCAGTCTTCGTGTCGGAGAACTGCCCACCCGCCATTCGTGGTCGTATTGCCGGTCTCTTCCAGGAGTTCCTCGTCATTGGTGTCACCGTGGCATACTGGCTTTGCTATGGAGTGGCAGAGACCATCGCCCCCACAACCAAACAGTGGCGCATCCCCGTTGGATTCCAGCTTGTGCCGGGTGGGTTGATGATGATTGGACTGTTCTTTTTGACCGAATCTCCTCGTTGGCTGGCAAAAGAAAACCGTCTTGAGGAAGCCCTCAATGCCCTGGCTTATATGCGTAACGAGTCAACGACCAGCCCTACGGTCCAGACCGAGATGGCGGAGATCAAAGCGGCCGTTGAACACGAGATCGAATCAACCCAGGGTCTTACTTGGCGCGAACCTTTCCTACCGGGAAATCGCATCCGCTTTCTGAATTGTTTCTTGATGATGTTCTGGCAGCAGTGGACCGGTACCAACAGTATCGGATACTATGCTCCCCAGCTGTTCCAGACCGTTGGCGTCGCCGGAGGCAATACTAGCTTGTTCACAACGGGTATCTACGGTATCGTCAAGGTAGTTACCACCGGAATCTTCCTTATTGTTGGTATCGACAAGATCGGTCGGCGGTGGTCTCTTATCGGCGGCGCCCTTTGGATGTGCACAATGATGTTCATCCTGGGCGGTGTTCTGGTGTCCTATCCTCCGGATCCTAGCGGCAACGGTGGCATCTCATCTGCATCCCTCGCTATGATCGTCATGATCTACTTCTATGTCATTGGCTACTCTGCATCATGGGGACCGATTCCATGGGTTTACATTTCTGAAATTTTCCCAACTCGCCTTCGTTCATACGGTGTTGCTACCGGATCGGCAACCCAATGGCTTTTCAACTTTGTGGTCACTTATGTGACTCCCGCAGCTATCAATAACCTTGGCTGGCGAACCTTTATCATGTTTGGCTGCTTCTGCTTTGTCATGGCTGTTTGGGTTTTCCTCGTCATTAGGGAAACAAAGGGTCGCTCTCTCGAGGAGATGGACGTCCTTTTCGAAAAATTCCATGCCTTTGGCAGATTGCCTGATGTTGAAACCGCGGCCATCGAACGGAAGCTTTCATTCGATGACGCTGCTACCTCGACCCATAATGAAGTACAGGGTGTCGAGACAGAGGATCGTGTAAAGCGATGAACATTTTAGACCATTTTGCTATTATACTCCGGATACCTATCCTTCTCATGTCCAGCCTGTTTTTTGCAATTTTATGTCGTGGGTATACTGTACATAAGCTCATCTAGTCATTTTATCAAAGTCATCATAGATGGAACCTATTATCCAACTTTTATTACATCTTCTCCTTCAATTGAAGCTATTGGAAACCTAGCAAACAAGGCGTCTAGAGCCATCACTTTGGGTGTCCAACATCTTCATTTTCTACTCAGGCAGCTTCTTATAGTGCCGGCTCCCTTTCAAAAGCATGCTTTATCTTGATTGGCCTTGTGGTCCTTTGACTATATATTGACTCTATAACCAGGGATTGTGTCCGTTTTTGATCGAAGCTCTTCTTTCAATCAAAAGGCGTCGCGGTACATAAGAGCAGGGAGAGAAAAGTGACAATAATTACCAAGAGATGCTGAGGTCTAGAAAAGAATATATAAGAGAAAGAAGAAAACGCAAGCGTTCGAAAGACACCCATTGACCGATGAAACTTGCCAATGTCCAAAACACTTTCGAATCCTTGACTCAACCGTGAATCTCAATTTATCCAGCCGGGTTCGCACAAGTGAAAGGGGTCAGACTACCCGCTTGGAACTGCGTGTGCATGGAAGTAACTGAAGCCCAAATTCCCAATCCAGCAGCCCCCAACGCGCCGATCGCGTAGAGTATATCAAAGGTATTCCACACAAACTTCTTCTTGTAACCTCTAATCCATCGCTTCATTCCACTGTCCAAGCGCTGTGCTTGGCCAGTTGACGGATTGAACTCCTCTTCGGGGAGTATCGCATCATTTTGAATGTTGAATCCAACCAGCAACAGTGGTGGGAACGTGAAAGAGAACTGCAAGATACAAGCGGCTCCCACAAATGATGCTAGGTTGCTGATCTGCGGGATTGCGGCGGCAAACACCCATGCGAGAGCCCAGTAGGCAGGTGCTAGTGGGATTGTTAGATTTTTGAATTCAGATGGAACCTCGGAGGATATTCCAACTTACCGAGCCCAATCCATATGAACTTGCCAGTTCGGCTGTTCAAGTCGGGGAGATGGAAGACATCGCGCAGCACAACGTTGTAGAAGACTTTGATACCAATGTTCCCGTATAGCAGAGCTGCGATGACGCCGGTGATGAATGAGATGGCGTTGCCTAAAGTCTGGAATTTGTAGGCGGAATTTGGAATACCTGTTGCAGGATTGTTAGCAATCTTAGAATCTCCCTTGAAATTCTATGTGGCTCACCTTGGTAAGCGGGGTTGAATGTAAATTGGCCCTGTGCACTATACACAACCATGCCCGAGAGAAGGTAGCACACGTAGATGAATATCTCGGCAAGGATAAAGCCTTTCCAGAAGTCATATGGCCGTCTCATCTCAGCCATGAGCTCGTTGAAGAGAGTTGCACCTCCGTAGGCAAAAACAGCGTTCATCATGGCATTGACTTTGTCCCTGAGGGTTGAGCTCTCAGGCCAGTAGCCGGCTGTTTTCACAGGTCCCTTTGGAGTACCATAGCTAGTCAACGAGGCTGCATAGTTCGGGGGATACTGGTAAACCACGGCCATGGTCATAATAACGACAATTATATTTAACCAGATCGCGATGTTGGCCAGGTAAGAAAGACGTTGCAGGGTACGGATCTGTCCGAGGACAAAGCCGATGACCACGAAGATCACTTCAGCCGCGATGAAACACAGGAACCCGTTGCCGTTGGCACCAACGGCCATCTGCGCCAGTCCTTGTCCGTTGCTTACAATGAGCAGGGCCACATTGAGGAAGAACTGGAAGCTTTGTAGGACGTTCACGAAAATTCGCGCCCGGTTTCCATAGACACGGAAAGCTACATCGCCATAATTTCGCATCGGGAATCGAGTTGAGTCGAGGCCGACGAAGATCCTCCACAGCTGCATGCCGGAGTAACAAGCCAGGCCCCCGAAAACGGTGTACAATACAGCACCTGGTCCATAGCCCATCTGACTGATCGCCCAGGGGACATTGGTCGGTCCCAGGATGTCGGTAGTAATCAGATAGAAGATTGAACCCCAGGTTGCAGTTCGCCCAGCCCGTTGTGCCTGCTCCCATTCTGTCTCAGTGATGCCCCAACTATCGGCTGTGCTATCACTATTCGTGTTGCTAGTCTGTTTGGCGCTGGACTCAGCCACGGCAGAGCTTCTCTGTACTGGAGCATCGGGCTTACTAAAAAGCCTCTTTCTCCAGTGTGCAAAGCCCGCATCGTCAGTTGAAATGTTCTTCTCAACCTCGCGCGATCGCTTAGCCCAGTAGGCATAGTTCTCAAAGGTGATGGTAGAATCCGAGTACATTGATTGTCTGCCATCCAGAGCAGACGTGGGCTGAGAAACAAAGACCGTGCCCTCTTTCGTGTCCATCTTTTCTCCATCCGGATGAGCATCGACACTCATTTTGGTGTCGGAGATCTTGTCCATAATGGGTACTGGATAATCTCCGGCTCTTAGAGTAAGTTCCGAGAGAGATGCAGGAAAAGAGATGGGAACGAGGACAAACTGCCCTCATATAAGCCTATTATGTGGCTCAATCCCTAGACTAAATCACGTCCCTCGGAGCTTTCATCCAAATATCCCTAGTTCGATAGGTAAGTTATCAGCCAATTCGTCCGATGTAACATGGCCCCATCCCAGGGTTGACTGCCCAGGTGGCAATCAAAGCTTCGTTTTGCTCCGACTCCTGTGACTGGCCCCTAACGGCAGCCACCATCCCACTGGGGATCCACCTGAATCTCGGCAAAAGCTTGTCTCTCCAACCGAATTTGCTGACGGCGATGATAGAACGCCCAAAGGGGATAAACCGCACTGTTTGTGGTTAGTTTCGGCGGAGGTCCATCGGAGACCGCTTATGCGCCTTCCTTTTACTAATTTGCCAAACGCTGTAACATCCGATTGCATTTGTTTCAACTGCAGATTCCGGTTCATCCGGGGTCATCTGAAAGGGGCCCGTATGATAACCAGGGCTGTTTGGATCATCCACGGATAGCCATCTGCTGACAACCTTGGAACGAATCAAGTAACAATGGCTTTATCAAGGAACTGGCTGAGTCTCATTGTGGTAATGTGGTGTGCCTACCCAGGTGGAGCACTGGCCTCTACGCTTCAACCGGTGAGTTGAGCCGACTCGAAAAACGCAATATATGCAAGATAGTTGATAATCTTTTTATGTAAATACCCGAATGATAGCCAGTCATGTCCAATGGCCTTGAGAGAGGTCATTCCATCTAAATGATGTACAACGTAGAAGTTTCTAGCCTGGGGGCCAAAAAGCCTCTTGGTACTCCGTATAATTAGTCATCCAGGCAAGTGCCGAGCAGCTGCAGGAAGGTTTGACATGTCCTTTGTATTGACCTCTAACTCTATCTATATATCTGTCTACATGTGTATGTCAATCACAGCCGCACCGATCCAAGAACCCTGAAATGCGACGGTACATCTCTAAAGGGTTTGAATACATAGGGAAATGCCCCGCGCCCACGATATCGGCCAATTCAACTCCTTCCTTCTCCAACAACGGCAGATATGATAACCCACGCATCTCCTCTCCGAACATGAACATGCGCGGACACGGTAATGCCAAGAACTTATCTATCAAGTCCCCATGATCAGTCAACTGCACCATAGACTCAAAAATAGGCCGAACCGCACCAGCCCGGACCCGGACGCGCAGGGTACTAGCATACATGGCACTAGCAAATGACCCGGATGTGCGCGTGCGCTCAATAAATGCATCCATGAATGCATCGCCGTCATCAGCTGGGAACATGAAGATCTGGCGGCTGAGGAAGCAGTCCTCCGGTGCGAGATTGCCTTTGATATTCACGAAGCTAAGGACACGGTCTGGATTCTGGTTTGCGAGGAGGAGGGCTGTTAATCCACCCATTGAGTGGCCTATCAGGTGGAATTTGTCGATGTTGAAGCGCGCGAGGAAAGCTTCGGCGGTTGCCACGAGGAACGGGATGTCGATTGCGGAGACGTTGTTGCTGACGGATTGGCCGCAGCCGGGAGCGTCGTAGGCTATGAAGCCATGGTGTTTTAATGGTGGTTGAATTACTATATCGGCGAGATCTTCTTTGCTTGAACCGAAGCCGTGGAGGAAAAGAATTGGTGAGGTTGAGTTAAGGCTATGGACTGTTGATAGTTCGAGACGAACACCTTCGACTGTGAGCGGGATACATTCGAAGGTGAGGGACATGATGAAATGAATTTCATATTTTAGAACGTTTTTACATTGGGTTTTATACTCGATCTGTGAAGATTTTCTGACCTTCAACGGTTCGGCGAAATAATATTTTGCCGCCGCTTACACACAGAAGAGTCATCGCTAACTCCTATGAAATACATTCACCTCACGCTGCGTACCATCTGGAGTCATTTGTTAGCATAAATTCAGAGTTAATATCAATAGCTGCCGGTATGTATCTTTTGACTTCATTATTTGGGCAAAGTTAGAAGACAGGACCCATGAACATATAGCTTTTCCCATATAAAGAAAATGGTTTCCTCGCCGGTCTAGTTCTCCAGAGCACTCCATCAAGTCCTATTTAATTCATTTGATCACAAAAGAATCCTAGGACTTTGAACTGCTGCCGACGACCATTAACCAAGCGCCGTATATGTTCAACGGGCGCTACGGTCCATGGAACGACTATATAGTTCGAGCACAATGAGTGGAATGCTCAAAGCCCAAACAGGGCGCAGACGAGATCTTCACCCCATAAAACTCCGCTGTCTCATATGCAAGGGTCGACATGAAGAATGCTTCTCGTTCCAGACGACCAGGCCTTCCATATCGAAGCAATTTTCGATGGTCAACATCGAGTCATGACAGGAGGAACATATCCAAGAGATGGCTTCCCCTCTGCTCAGCTCCTAATGAGGGACAGGAGAGATTGTCGATTGAAGAGAAGACTGAGATAAGACAATTCCCTCTGGCACCTTCCGGCGAGCGCCGCATGTCGTGTTCCTGATCCTGACCTACACAACGATTGCGCTCTTTGCCTGGGTCTTGTGTATGCTTTTTCAACCGGCCCATGGACTTCTAGGGCTAGAAAGTACACGATCAACCTTGCATTAGAGCCAAATTTGGGCGATTACCTATATGGCACAAGGAGCAGATTCCCCTAAAGCGAACGCCATCTCAAGGCTGGTCGAGTCTGCCAATCCGTGGCCTCGGTGCTCGCGATCCCACTCCCTTCTATAATCTGCTCTACAGGTATATGGAGCCGAACGACATTGGAATGAATACCCACGAAAAGTCTGATATCCATATTGGTATCCACCGTGGTCCAGTGAGTACAGGTACAGTAATTAGCAACGAGTTCAGCTAGGCCTGCACTGCGTCCAGTCAGTTCACATTTGGAAGCATTTCTACTCGCAATGACTCCTTCCGGGCCTAGCCACCGGCTTCTAACCGGGATTGTGGCAGTAGTTCGCCTCCTAGATCAATTTCGCGCTTAGGTACAGCGCGTGGATACTGTGGTAGACGAATCAGCCCCACGCATTAGCTATGGTGAGTACCGGCGCGGTGGTGCGTGCCAGGCCGGTTTCCGGCTCGGCTGACGCATAGCCCAGACGAAATCGAGGGTCTCGAAGAGCTACCCGGGCGGATTGGTGGCGTCACCTGTGTGGCGTGTGGTGGAGTTGATGGCCTGGGCGAGCTGGGCCTGGGCGGAGAAATCATAGTTGAAGGGAAGAAGGGGTACGTATCGATGTTATGCGGTTGATTAAGTAAAGTATTCCGCGGGAAGGTGTGATATATTTTTATATCCCTGGCGCACGGTAGAATCTGGTACGTATACGAGCAGTGTCGTATATGTACTTATCACACTAAATTGCAGCACACTATAAATCCTAAAGCTCTACGTTATCCAGATTCATCCATGAAAATAAGGCTAAGCAAGTCAGAAGACATTTTTTTTTTCATTTCTTCCGGAGATATATCGTGATTATTTCTCTCGGCTAAGAATCCTTGCCCTGATATTTTGGGGGTCTCGAGTCCCTCTTTAGACTTTTCAGTTGGAACACGTCCAACGAGCACACTGGGTTAATACTTTGTCTCGGGCTAGGGACTAAATGATAGGTCACCAATGAAATCAGCTTGACTATATACTTCATATGATGAGATCTCGTCAAGCCTCGCCCCTGCAGGGAAACCGAAAAGGCCTGGCCGGCACCCATAGAGGGGATGGAGATAAAATCATCTCACCTGCGCAGTCAAAAGGAAGGGGCTCGAGGGCATGAAACAAAATGAATCAGGGCTCAGAGGTCAAGAAAATTGCTGTCGCATTATCTTGCATCATCGGGTTAGCCCTGGACTAACTTTGTCAACCGATAGATTTTTTCCCTCAATGTTTCTATTATTGTAAGCCAAGCCGTGCGTCATGTCATATTGCAAATCCAGCAAGGATTTGCTTGGCGATCGCCTACAGGGAGGCTCTGGACCAGGTGGCACGGCAAAGATTTCTGGTTTGCTGAGTTGGGATTGTGATTATGCATGGACAGGGATATTCAAGCCTGGATAGTGATGGATTCGTCGAGGTGCGGCATGCAGTTGTCACACCATATATCAGCTATGCTGATCATAGTGAGGGTGGTACAACACAGATCATTGAAGGTTATGGAAACAACGATTCACATAGGAATGGAAAACGGAACATCGGCTTCGGATAGACCAGGCTAGAAGAAATGCCAGGCAAGCTAGGACAACGCCGAGAAACATCGCATAGGGCTGAACCACGAGAGCTGCGCCACAAAGAATTTTGTAGCCTGGAAATTTCCCGTCGGGAATGTATGCCAAGCAGCCAAGTGCTCGAGGCTTTATAAAATTGAGTCAGAAAGTTTCCGTGAGAGTCATGGACTGCGATTGGGGGGAGCTATGCTAGAAAGGTCAGGGATCAGCCCCAAAGAGGACAATAACAGGAGACCAAAAAATCCCGCGAGTCAAACGATGGGACTTGCCAAGGCTCGGCCGGTCCCGCACGTGAAATTCTCTGAGGTCAGCGGGTTACCTAATCCACAAATTTCAGCCATTTCAGCCACTTGAAAGTTGGCAAGTGCGGGAAAGTCTAGAGCTACCCGTTGTGGCTTAACCTGCTGGAGAATAAGGGCAAAATTGTGGATCGACTTTTTTTTTCTTTCCACATCTGTGACCGCTAAATATAAGCACACACATTCTTGATTTCTCGACTTTTACTCAGTACACATATATCTACATCACCATGGCGACATCCCTCCAGTCAAATGCCCAGTCTCTAGCACACGCTCTTACTGAGCTCTAACATCGGCCGTGCGCGTCCTGCGTGTTGCCGAGTCCAAGCTCTCTTCAATACTTCCCATTCGCCTACCCTCTATCGCATTCCCTGCTATCAAGGACAAAGCTATTCCTTCAAAGCTGCAAGCTTATCACAACCCCTTTTCCT